ATTCTTTATAATTGCTGGTATATTTCTCATATTTCCTTAATCTCCTAGTAGCCTTTTATCAGCTTCATTTAAAGCTGAAATTCAAATACTGAAATCATAGACTCTGAAATTGCTTTGTCATCATCAGCTTCCCTTTTATTTTCCCAATTTTCCCCAACTGGGCTGGATCTACTTCAACGAATGTGCAAGTAGTAAATGCTAATCATAAGAAGGCGCAAACAAATTAAGCCAAATAAAATTCTACACGTGAGCTATGATTACAATTATCACTGGACACAATATAATGATTTTAGAATGCTTTTACCTATTTCTTGGGCTCGGTTTGTTGAGAACGGAATTGCCAAGGAAGTCGGCGAAGAAACGCCAGAGAATAACTCCAAGTCGCTTTTGAATAAATTACAAAAACGAAAACCAACCACAACCAGATAATATTGTTCACGGGTTTATTTATAGTAGACGATTTGCTGTTCAAATACTAGCTCACGCGACGTTCATCACGTTCACTCACAACATCACGCAATGTTTTTGCTTTACGCGCCCGCAGTCGTATGTGGGCATGATGATCCTTTTCGGACATGCGTAGTAGGGAGAGAAATTCAAGATGGCGGACGAGGTGATTGTTTAGGTGAAAATGCTGTTGAAATTGTTAAGGAGATACCCAATTTTTGAGATTTTTTGAACTATCTATAGGCGGACAAGAGATTTGTGAAGTAAAATCTGCAAATTTAATGCTTAAAACTTTTTTTTTTGCTTAGAATCTTGGAATCTTGGTCTCATTCCAAGAGTGTGCCAATGGGGCCGGTACCCAATTTGTCAGTCAACTGCTAATTTTTTTGGGAGAATGACAGTTAACTGTAATAATTTTTAAGAATATTTTCCTTTTTGGAGAGAGGAAAGTAGGCTCTGCCGATGTAGGACGTTTCCTCTGGTACACCGCCGTCCACGATCGTCCTACTTTTCACCCTCCAAAACAAACAGAAAATAGGTTCTGTTAGCAATGAACAGTACAGTTTTAACTGACAATTATAAAAATAGTACTATTTTTAGGCCAATTGTCAGTTAACTGCTTACCCCATTTGCACCCTCTTTGAAAGTTCCGAGTCATTTTCGAGAATCGTCATCGTAGTCAGGTAARCACAAAGCCTTGAAAACTATGTTAAATTGGCTGGTTATGAAACAGTCCGCCGTTAAATTGGCCTATGTCATTGGCAGATGTCGTTATTGATTGTACAAAAAGAAAGCAAAAACGCATGTCCAATCAATTGAGAAGCATTTTTAATTCACTTTTATCACTGGTGTTAATTTTCTCCTGCAGCGTTTCTGGCGAGTTTTTTTTTTTCTTTTCCGAAAACGGATCGACAAGGACGGAGAAATGCTGATAGCAGGGGAGGAGAAACATGAAGAAACAACAAGAAGCTAGAAGGAACTGAGCGGGAAGAGCAAGGAAAAGGGAGAACGGCAGATGACGTAATGTAGTATAGATGACGTCACATATTCTGTAAAATTGAAAAAAAGAATACTTAAAAAAGAAAAAGAAAAAAGAAAAAACAACAACAACAACAACTTAAAGATTATTCCAAGTCTCAGTTAAATTAACGATTTTCGTCGCGTCCATGTCCATAATGATTGAACTCTGAAACTCTTGCCCGGGGTGTGATGTGAGGTGTGTGCTGTACCCCTTCACAGGTTGAATTTTTGTTTAAACATGTTTAGTGAACTCACAAAACAAGAAACGTAAACCACTTCTATATTAAAAACACTGCGAGTCAAATATAATAGCCAAAAATAGAACAAAAAATTTTAAAAAGCGAGCTTTTAGGATTTTCACGGGTGAATGACGAGGCATCATCCGATTTACTGGTAACCGCTGTTCATGATCGGCGCAGCGAGCACATCAACTTTCAAGTTTAAAATGGCTTCCTTTTTTAGATTTTCTGAGCTTGAAGAACAAATCTCACTAAAAGCTGGCTTCCCGATTCATGTTCTACGGTTTTTGTTATCTTTATTTCTTGGTAAGTCGTACTAGTACACTCCTAATGTTTTCAGTCTGTAGGTCTTCATAAGTTCAAAGTTACAGGTCGTTACGTTCAGTTACGGTCCTTAGTCTGTAAATTTAACCACCCCTTCAATATAGAATAATCCTAATTAAATATTAAAAACGGGTTAATATTAAAATACCCCGAAAGCATAAGATATATAAACAATAATGAATAAACACTGAGTTGCAAGAAAAGATTTCGTGACTTTACGACTTGAGCTGTGAACCTTATGAAGTTAATATTTATCATGCTTTGAATTTCAAACAGAGTTCCAAAAATGGTTATTCTTTCGTCTCTTTGCCCGTATGTTAAGCTAATTTTGATTCAAAAAAACTATCTAAATTCATTCTAGGTAGCTGTATCTAGGATAAATCTTTCGTTTTTGTTCAAAATAACATATTTGTTGGGTTTTTTGTGTGCCTGCCATATGCATGAGCTACTCAACGTAACTTGACGACCATCAATGATCTCAGTCACTGCCCTTCAAATTTTAACTTTCTATTTTATTTTGTTCTTATATAAGTTATTCGTAACCTTTCATCATGCTTAAGATACCTGTTTTGTTTACGGATTATTCCATTTTATAATATTTTGATCCCCGTTGTGCTTTGTTGTACAGACAAAGTTTTACAATCAACAGGTTTTCTAGCTAACGATTACAAAGCAAGTCTTTTTTGAAAAACATTACATATTATTTCCCCTCATTAACAAGAGAATTAAATGATTTTCCAATAGCTAAGAGGATTCTGTTTCGGAATATAATCGAAAATGGAAGTAAATAAAGATAAATTTCGCTTTTGAGTTGAATTGTACTGTGTTAACTTATAATAAGGGCTCGCCTCATTGTTTTTTCTCTCGTTAAAAAAAAGAAAAACAAAACAATATAGAGCAAATCTTGGCAACCAGATAAAAATATTTAAAAAAGTATAAAG